CGTTGCTTGCTGAAGCCCTTAGAAAAGTAGCTCTGGAAGCTGCCGGCTGCCACCTTTGCCGGGCGCATGCGAAACAGCGAAACAGCAGGGCCTGCTGGTCCCAACCGCGTGTCCCAAGGCCAAGCGCCACTGCCTAACATTGCTTTCTGAAGCCCTTAGAAAACTAGCTCTGGAAGCTGCCGGCTGCCACCTTTGCCGGGCGCATCCGAAACAGCGAAACAGCAGGGCCCTGAGGGACGGACCGGGCCTCCGGGCAACGGCCCCCAGTGCCCAACGTCACTTTCTGACCCTACAAGAAAATCTAGCTGTCTTCCAGCCGCCGCGGCTCACAAACGGCGCATCCGTTGCTTTCTGAAGCCCTTAGAAAAGTAGCTCTGGAAGCTGCCGACTGCCACCTTTGCCGGGCGCATGCAAAAGAGCGAAGCAGCAGGGCCTGCTGGTCCCAACCGCGTGTCCCAAGGCCAGGCGCCACTGCCTAACGTTGCTTTCTGAAGCCCTTAGAAAACTAGCTCTGGAAGCTGCCGGCTGCCACCTTTGCCGGGCGCATGCGAAACAGCGAAACAGCAGGGCCCTGAGGGACGGACCGGGCCTCCGGGCAACGGCCCCCAGTGCCTAACGTCACTTTCTGACCCTACAAGAAAATCTAGCTGTCTTCCAGCCGCCGCGGCTCACAAACGGCGCATCCGTTGCTTTCTGAAGCCCTTAGAAAAGTAGCTCTGGAAGCTGCCGACTGCCACCTTTGCCGGGCGCATGCGAAACAGCGAAACAGCAGGGCCCTGAGGGACGGACCGGGCCTCCGGGCAACGGCCCCCACTGCCTAACGTCACTTTCTGACCTTACAAGAAAATCTAGCTGTCTTCCAGCCGCCGCAGCTCACAAACGGCGCATCCGTTGCTTTCTGAAGCCCTTAGAAAAGTAGCTCTGGAAGCTGCCGACTGCCACCTTTGCCGGGCGCATGCGAAACAGCGAAACAGCAGGGCCTGCTGGTCCCAACCGCGTGTCCCAAGGCCAGGCGCCACTGCCTAACGTTGCTTTCTGAAGCCCTTAGAAAACTAGCTCTGGAAGCTGCCGGGTGCCACCTTTGCCGGGCGCATGCGAAACAGCGAAACAGCAGGGCCCTGAGGGACGGACCGGGCCTCCGGGCAACGGCCCCCAGTGCCTAACGTCACTTTCTGACCCTACAAGACAATCTAGCTGTCTTCCAGCCGCCGCGGCTCACAAACGGCGCATCCGTTGCTTTCTGAAGCCCTTAGAAAAGTAGCTCTGGAAGCTGCCGACTGCCACCTTTGCCGGGCGCATGCGAAACAGCGAAACAGCATTCTGTCTGTCTGTCTGTCTGTCTGTCTCTGTCTGTCTATCTATCTGTCTGTCTGTCTGTCTATCTGTCTGTCTGTCTATCTGTCTGCCTCTCTCTCTCTCTCTCTCTCTGTCTCTCTCTGTCTCTCTGTCTCTATCTGTCTGTCTCTGTCTGTCTGTCTCTCTGTCTCTGTCTGTCTCTGTCTGTCTCTATCTGTCTCTGTCTGTCCCTTGAGCATTCTTCAGGGCAGGCCTTCTCCAGCGCGCTCCCCCAGCATCCGGCTGGGGTCGGCGGATTTAACATAGCAATGGAAAATCACCATGTTTAATGGGTACACCTCTATAAATGGGCCATCTATACCATGGCTATGTTAGTCATAACCAGAGAGTATACCAAATCCACATGCCTGTCAGACTCCTCGATCTCAGGAGATCGAGGAGGCGCTGTCTCAAGGTCGGGTATCCTGGGATATCCTGGGTATCATCGCACCAAATGTGTGAAAAATTGGCCCGTTCTCTAGGTCAATCTTACATGGATACAAACTAATCCTAACTAGTCTTTTGGTATCAATGGGAATATCTACGTTCACCAGCAAAGAATTTGTCATTTTTTGCAGGGTATCTGGCTGATTGGCAATGTTTATAGGGGATGATGAAATTTGTCATCAATAACTTCCGGGTTGGGATCTGGAGGCAGCTGGTTCCAGGATGGTTCACCCAACAAAACAATTACTGTTGGATAGGTTGATGATGTTTTTTTTAATGAAAACGTATGAAA